TCTTTAATCGGCAGGGGTCGTTCACCCGCAGCATTTTATTCGGCTTACCCGGCCCTTGCGGGCTGACTTAGCCGTTTGGGATTCCTTTTTGGCCTCCTATAATGGCAGGTCGTACTGGCAGGCCCCGGAGGTTTCTAACGCAGACCTCCATTTGTTCACCGATGCGGCGGGCTTGGTTGGCTTTGGGGCCATTCTGGGCACAAAATGGTGCTCTGACTCTTGGCCGGAGGCCTGGCAGGAAACGGGGCTCATTCGATACTTGGCGTTTCTGGAGCTCTTTCCTATTGTGGTGGCTCTGGAAGTGTGGGGTCCCATGCTGGTGGACAGACAGGTGGTCTTCCATTGTGATAACTTAGGAGTGGTGCAGGCGATCAACCAGCTGTCTGCTTCCTCTCCCCCCGTGGTTCGCCTGCTGCTGCGCCTAGTTCTGCGCTGTCTAGAGCTGAATGTATATTGTAGGGTGGTGCATATCCCGGGTGTTCGTAATGTGATGGCCGATGCTCTCTCCAGTTCACAGTGGGACGTGTTTCGGGCAGTGGCTCCGCAGGCCGAATTGGTGGGTGTCCCTTGTCCGATGGAGATGTGGTCCTTGGGTCTGACCGACTAATGGAGCTGGTCCGTGGGTCGGTGGCGGCGGCCACGTGGGACCGCTATAACAAGGTCTGGAGGGAATGAGACGGGTGGGAGAGGTCCCAGGGGGGTTTCAGGGACTCCTCCGCTCGCCTGCAGGGTTTGGTTCTTCTCTTTAGGGATTTGGAGGCTGTGGGGTTGCCTCCCTCGGCCGTTTCGGCGCGCCTAGTGGGACTCAGCTTCCTGTTTAAGTTGCGGGGTTGGGACGACGCTACCAAAGCATTCCTCATACGGCAGGCGCTAAAAGGTTTGAGGAGGGGGCGGGTGTCTACGCGAGACTCGAGGCGTCCTGTCTCGGGCACGCTCCTAACTGCTCTGTGTGAGGCGTTGCACAGGGTGTGTCATTCGGATTTTGAGGTTCGGCTCTTTCGCCTAGCCTTTTCCTTGGCATTCTTTGGGGCTATGCGGATTGGGGAGCTGGTGTGCCCCAGCCGGCAGCAAGTGGGGGGGGGTGCTGTTCGGGGACGTTTCATGTACCGCTGACCGGATCTCGTTCAGGATTCGCCACTCTAAGACGGATGTCTTGGGGAGGGGTAAGTGGGTCCGGTTGGGGTCCGTGCCAGGTTCCGGCATCTGTCCTGTTTGGTCATTTGGGGAATATTGTGCTCTGCGCCCTTCCCCCGCGTTGCCACTCCTGGTACACGGGGATGGTAGTTTCCTTTCCCATTTCCAGTTTATTAGAGTTTTTCGTTTGGGGCTGGAGGCTGTGGGATTGGATAGCAGGGAATTTGGGGGCCATTCGTTCCGTATTGGGGCGGCTACCGAGGCCTCGAGGCTTGGCATGCCGGCGCACGTAGTTCAAAGGATTGGTAGGTGGGACTCAAGACGTTATGTGTCCTATGTTCATCCGACCGGTTTATTGACATGATTTCTGTCCACAGTTTCGTTTCCCCCCAGGATCTGGATCATCGGACACTCCTATGTTTACTGGGCTGGGCAGCGTGCGGCAGTGCGGCCTAGAGGTGAAAGGTTGGGTTTCACGCCTTCTGAAGCAGAGGTACGATGAGGGTATGAGGTGGTCCCTGCTCCTACCCGAGTTGGCACCCCCAGGATATGGTACAACTGCGCTGAGTGTCCAGGTGATCCCCCTAGGGGGGAACGATCTGGGCGTGGTGCCCATTTGGGACTTGATTTCGGCGGTGAAGCGGGACCTAGCCCGCATTCTGAATTTGTTCCCCGGGGTACACTTGGTGTGGTCTGAGGTCATTGCCCGTAACTACTGGTGTGGCGCCAGGAGCCAGAGTGCGATGGAGCGTTGCAGACGCAAGCTAAACAGGTGGGTTTCCCAGTTTGTTTTGGGGGTTTGGGGGATCCCGGTCCACCACAGGGTTTTTGAGCGGGAGGCGGCTCATGTTTTTCGGGGGGACGGGTGTTGTATAATCCTTCTCTCACCACCAATACTTCCAATTGGTATCCTTTTGAGAGAAATCCACTCTGCGTTGTGTTTTTAATAGTGAATGTAATATCCCTGTGTAACCTCTTCCAAGAACTAACATATATCTTTATCCCCTTATCCAGATAAATATACGACTAGAACTACTAAGGTATTCTACCCAATATTACAAATAAACAGCCAACACCATAGTTCTTACCAGAGAGAAATCTTTACTTAGAATCTGCCCAGTTAAATATTACAGAAGAAGAATGTTACAGAGTTATAGTATTACAGTTACAATACATTCATAACACTCATACATTCCATCTATCTAATAATATCTACTGTATTGTGTATGTGCTGTGGGATGTTATGTGCAGCATGTGTCTTACCAACCTAATCTAATGTGATGTCAGTATCTTCTATTTTTAAAGGAATTGGTTCCCATGTTGTAAATAGCCAATTCCTCAGCTCAATTTGACATGGAAATGTGATTTCCTTTCCCAAGGCCCAAAGTGTTGTCTATCCTGTTATTTTATTTAAGTGTTAACTTTCCCAGCCATCCCTTTTCCTCTAACCCAAGGTGTGTTTTCCTAGATAGAGACTCCTTTGAAGACCAGTTGATATGTAAATGTGATTGGTGCCTTTCAGGTGCTGTATCTTTCCAACTATCTAAACAGAAACTCCCTTTGAAGATAATTCCTGACCTCCCATACACACAGACTTAATCAAGCACATATTAAACAGATATATACATAATATTTTCCCCAACACTCCCCCACTTGAATAAGATCTAATAAGGAGATTATTCACATACAGCCCCACCTCCCACTCTGATTTCTGTACATTAAAAAAAAATTAAAAAAAAAAAATCAAAGGAAGACATAGACCCACACATATATTTTATATCCCTAAAATGGATGTGAGCTCTAATTTTTCCTGCTTTGTATGGATTTTTTTTAGTTCTTTCCTCCAACAGCAATATAAAATGAATAGAGAACAGATTAAAACAAATTGTAGACAAACAAATATTACAGAAGCAGTTCTTAATCCTGGGTGTGTGTAAGTATTGTAGGGTATGCTCCACCAGGGCTCTTGAAAACTATTTGTTAAATCATTAAGGCTAGCTACATTTTCCTTCACCAGCTCTTGCAATTGCACAACCCTTCGATTATTTCTTTTAAATAATGTATCCAAATCTACATTAAGTGGTGGGATTTTCTTAAAAAGTGAGGGAGCCATTTTATTCCAATTTCCTAGATCTTCCTGTACCACGTCCATAGATCTTTGTGTGAGTTGGATATTGGCTCTTATGACCTCTTTGCCCACTTTCATGGAGCCATAGGTAAGATTAACACACCATCCTATTGGGGGTACCCTACATTGTATTGTTTGCTGCCACAGAACTGAAGATACTCCCAGTGCGCAGATCGTGGGACCCTGTCCGTGCACCACTCTTTTCCAACCATTTATGGGTTTGTGAAGGTGAACAGGGCAGCTCCCTGAGTTTTCCACCATGCACCCATCTGCCTGGACTAGTGGTTCTAGTACACAGGAACAAAGCCAAGCATTACCACGTCTGTCACAGCAACTGGGGTTCATAACTTTCCAGAACTGGTCTTCTTTTATTACTAAGCAAGTTTGTGGAAGGAATTGCTTTAAAACATTAGTGCGATTAGCCACTTCCAACTCACCAAACATAGTCATCTTATAAACAGGTACAGGCTGTTCTGTCCAAACTGGAATGTCAATTATTAATGGAATTACCTTTTTTCCTAATTTGCACTTATTGCACCAACTCTGCAGACCTTTAATTTTGGAAAGGACTACATTCTGACAATCTATGCCATATTCCCTAACCAGATCAAAGACTAGGGTAGAATTGATTATTCTGGTCCATTCCCCTCGTTTTATTTCTTGGAGGCCTAAATTTAGATGTTCGTCTAGTAAATTTTTTTTCCTAATTTGCACTTATTGCACCAACTCTGCAGACCTTTAATTTTGGAAAGGACTACATTCTGACAATCTATGCCATATTCCCTAACCAGATCAAAGACTAGGGTAGAATTGATTATTCTGGGCCATTCCCCTCGTTTTATTTCTTGGAGGCCTAAATTTAGATGTTCTAGTAAATTTCCAACTATACCACATACCATAGCTTTAGATACATTATTGTTATTAACTGATTCTCTGAGAGCATTCACAGATATATTAATCCACTGCAAATCTGCAGCAACTGTGTGAATGTTCTGTATCGTGACATCAGTTTCAGCTAGAGTGTTAAAATCCACTCGTCCCTCTTTAAGCATAATTTGCTGCAACCCATTAACATAATTTTGTTCTCGTGAGTTAAGACCCTCTATGTCTGCCCTATTCCAAATTGATGTTCCCAAACTGAGTCCTGAGATTATATCAGTACCCAGATCCCTTTTTTCTCTCTCTCTAAACTTGAGCCCTTGTGTTGCATCCCAGAACAGATTAATATGTGCTTGAAATACATTTTTAAACCATTCTTTCATCATCTCTGGGCAACTCTCTGGTATATTAAATAATGAAAAATTTAACAATAATGGTAATGTTACATAAGATACATCAGTATACACAACAGTTTGTGTTGGTTGTAAGAAAAGGCCATGCTCTGGCCACAGGGTGGTAGTTGGACAGTCCTGAGAATTTATAATTCTTATGTTAATTGCTGGGTCAACTGTATCATGTAATCCAGTCTGATGGGGGCTGCATGTTACAACACCATCCTGGGAAAATGTAAAATTTCTTTCCAGCAGCATCTTTATCCTCATTTCATTTGTGGTATTGGCCCAAAATATACTTGTACTCTTATGTAAATCACTTCCTCCTGGATATTTCCAAACTGCAAATTCAGAGGGAAGGTTAGTTTCAGGCATTGAAATATTACATTGTACCACTATCCACCCCCCTATAGGCCCAACCGCTGTAAGATTATCTTTACATGTAACGTCAGGTGATTGTTCCTTTACTTTTAATGTTACAATGATATTCTCTGAATCTTCTGAACTCCTTTTCTCCCTATGATAACCCTCTACTGGAGTACTCTGATGTACCATTTTATTGTTATTCTTCATCATGACATTCCCTTTTGCTAAGCTATACAATATATACATAGAAAACGATACACATAACCACCACATCACGACAGCTGTTTTCTTGCACTTCATATTCCTTATGTGGGCTGCTCTTCCAGGGATCCACACCATCTCCTATTATCTGGAAAAGAGAGCTAAGAGAATATGTTAACATTTACATTAACTTGGCACATCATTTTTTCCTCTAAAGGCTTTTATTTGACATGCATGCGTCCATCTAAAGTTCTCATCTCCCACATCTAACAAATACACAGAGGGTCCAATTTTGTCAAGCACAAAATATGGACCTTTCCATTTAGGTTTTGGAAATGGGTGGTGAGGGGAAAAATCTTGCAACATTACTCTGTCTCCAATCTGATGCTCTGTTATATCCCCTTTTGCATTAAACCATTTTTGAGTGGCCTTGTGAGTGCATTCATCGGTAGCACAGAGAGATTTATGTACTGTCAAAATATGCTCTTTCAGATTTCCAACCCAGGCTTCAGATAATGCTACTGTGTCTAGGGCGGGTGGGAGAGGATTTAGTAAATGTTCCCAAGTCCTCATAGTTCTCCCTAATAAAGCTTCATAAGGGGCAAACCCTGTTGATCTGCACACTCTGGAACGAATAGTTGATAGAACAAATGGTAATTTTTCATCCCAGTCTGTTCCTTGTGAATTCACAACCTTTTTTAATGCATCTTTTACAGTCCTATTCATTCTTTCAACCTGACCAGAAGATTCTGGGTGATAGAATATGTGAAACTTGTGAATTATTCCCAGTAAGTTACATGTTTCCGCTATGACATTACTAATAAAGGCTGGTCCACTATCACTGTCCATAACCTTTGGAATTCCCCACCTGCTGAAAATTTCTTTCACAAGTATTCTGGCTGTATTGATCGCAGTACAATTTTTTGTTGAAAATGCCTCTACCCAATGACTAAATGAGTCAACTACCATAAGAATGTATTTATTTTGGTGGACAGTATTCGGTAGTTCACCAGTATAATCAATTTGAATACGTTCCCATGGTCCCATGGGTGCCTGTCTCATCAAAGCCCCCCTCCTTTTCCTGTTAGTAGGATCATGTCTAGCACATTCTAAGCAGGATTGTATGTGATCCTCCATATGTACAATACTTTGGGGCCACCAAGCTACATGGTCTAATCTTTCACTTGCTAACTGGAGCTTTGGGTGCCCTCCTACAGGAGAGCCATGAATCCACGTGAGAATATCTTTTCTCACCCCTTTTGGAGCAAACCAAACTGGAAAATCCTTCCTGTCTGTGACAAGCAGGCCTTCTTTTAAATACAACTCCTGCCCTTCATAGACTATTGGTCCTGCCTCACAAGATTTTCTCAGTGCTCCTATTTCCTCATCTTGTTCTTGTAGTTTAGCCAATTCACCTGTCCTCTCCTTTGTCTCTTTTGCCTGTGCCCTTGTTATAGCAGCTACAGGTATTGAAGTCATTGCTGTTAATAAAGGCCATTCAAGGGCAGCTTCTGCTGCCTCTTTTGCCAGTTTGTCAACTTTGTTATTATGGTGATGTTCTACTGTCTCCTTTCTATGAGCTTGCACCTTCCTGATATTGACTTTAACAAAATATTTAGCATTTTCCTCTATGGCTTGCCATAATGATGCATACTTTATCTCACTGCCATCCGTTCCTTTGAAACCCATCATTTTCCACCATGGTAGATACACCGCAGCTCCTTTACATACCTGATCTGAATCAGAAACAATATTAACAACACCACCATATTCCTCCATTTTCTTAAGAACTTGCAACAGTGCAGCTATTTCAACATACTGTGCTGACATGGCCTTACACGAAAATGCAAACTGATCCTGAATGTGACCCTCTTTCACACATATACCAGCAAATCCTGCTATCCTTTGGCCATCTTTGTAATATGATGACCCATCAATGTACCAACATTCTGTGAGGGGATCAAAGGGTTCTGATACAGCTTTGAACACATCATGTTGTAAACTAGCTCCAAAGACTTTACATGTATGAGGTTCACCCTCTATATGGAGCCCTCCCACCAACACGCTAGGCTCTTTCAACATCAATCCTTTTATGTTTTCTGATAATAAAGCAGTAGTCCATCTTGCAAGTCTTTTACTGTTTACATCACCTTCTTTCCATTTTCCATTTGCTAGCAAAACTAAAGGAGTATGGTGACTAGCAATTACAACAGTCTGAGTCCCAGTTAAATATCTGAATTTGTTTATTGCCCAATAGCAACATAATACCATTCTAGTGCACAAAGGATACTTTTGTTCCACTTGTGTCAACAACCTTGATGCATAAGCTATAGGTCTTTGTTTTCCAAAACACTCTTGAGTCAAAACAACTGACAATGATGTGGGGCCAACATGTGGATACATCCTGAATTCTTTATTTGGATCAGGGGCAGCTAAAGTTGGGGCATTTCCCAATGCATGTTTTAGAGTCGCTATAGCCTGTGTATGCTCTGCCTCCCATTTCCACTCATTATTTTTCAAAAGATCATATAAGCACTCAGTCATTTCTGCATACTGAGGAACAAAGTCTCTGCAAAATCCAGTCATACCAAAGAATTGCCTTAAGCAACGTTCATCTGTAGGTAGAGGAATTTTCCCAATCAACTCTACTCTTTGTTCATTAACACTCCGCCCTGACTTCCCTATGGTAACCCCAAGAAATTGAACTTGCTCTTTTCCAAGCTGTATTTTTTTAGGATTTAATTTTAATCCTGCTTCTCTCAAAAGCTGCAACAATTCTTGGACATCATTTTTATGCTCCTCCATTGAAGGAGAACCTAGCAAAATGTCATCCACATACTGAACAATCCTTTCTGACTTTGAAAATCTATCTACCACTTCCTTCATATGGGCATGAAAAATGGCTGGGCTATCTTTATAACCCTGAGGTAGAACTGTCCACATGTACTGGATCCCTTCCCAAGTAAAAGCAGTCCTATATTGACAACTCGGCTCAAGACCAATACTCCAAAAACCGTTATTAATATCCACCACTGAAAACACCTTCATATCTGGAGTTATTTTGCCAATCATTTCTGGGTAAGCTGCAACAACAGGGGCCATACTTTTTTAATGCCTATTCAAAATACGGTAATCAATTGTTAGTCTATATGTGCTGTCAGGTTTAGCCACTGGCCAGGCTGCTGAATTACACACAGATGCACCCCTTATCAAAGTTCCCTGTGCTTCTAATTGTTTAATCACTTCTCTGATCGGTTGAATAGCTTCTCTAGGTACTGGATATTGTTTTTGGGTTGGTGGGTCACTGCCCTCCAATAACACCATTGTATTCATTTTGCCACAATCCTGTCTGTGTTTATCAATTACGTCCTGAAATGCATTCATTAAATCATCCCAGGTATGGTCCCAAGAGCCTATTACTTCCCCCACTGGTTTCACTGTTGCTGTTACTAGTTCCATAGGAGGGTGCCATACATGACCTGTATTTCCATTCCCTTCCATTTTCCACAGTTTTAAATTAGCCAAATCCACAATCAGCCCTTGTTCACAACAAACATCTGCTCCTATAATGTCTTGATCTTGACATACAACATCACACCTCCAATTTTTCTCTCCAATCTGCATTTCCACATCACGTACAAAAGGAGCTTAAATGGAATGACCTGTAATGCCTGTAATTCTAATTTTCTCATTTCCTGGTTTCACATGCTTGCTGAAACTTACAGCTGCCCCACTATCTAACAGCGCTTGTACTCGAGTACCCCCTAATGAAACATCAACAGTGGGTCGCCCCCAAGGATCTAAGGTCAGATTTGTTAAGAAATGACAAGAAGAGGCAAGGGGGGGCTCGGATTTCCTAACACTCAAGGGATTCTTTTGGATGCATTACCTTACTGTCTTCTACAGTAGCCACCCTAGACTCTGCCCTCTTGATCTTATCCAATTCATATTTTAACTTGTTCAAATCTTCCTTTAACCGATCTCTTTCATCTTTAATTTCATGGAAAGGAACTCATGGTTTTCCAAATGTATCACTCTTTGCCTTCTTTTCACTACCAGATTCATTCTCACCTCTAGAATTTCCCATATGCTGAAATCTATTTCCCCTTTATGGTTTCTGAGGATACATGGCAGACCTATCTCTCCTCTCTGGCCCCTCTACTCTGAAAATCCTTGCAGCATCTACAGCAAAACTCCCATTTTTAACCTTTCTTCACCACAAATTATCAGCTCTTAACAGTAAATCACACATTTCTGATGGGTTTGGGGTTACAGATAATATCTCATCTTTAACATCTTCCTCTAATGCATCCAAAAACATTGATCTATGCACCAGCCCTCCCTCTTCAAAACCAGGATTATTAACACCAAACTATTCCATCACTGTGGAGATTCTAGCTGACAATTCAAACGGAGACTCTTGTTTCAGCTGTTTAATTTTTCCAGACAATGACACATTTGATGTAACTCCATAAAGTGCTCTCAAGATCTCTTTCAACATATCCCTAGTTCTACGCTGCTGACCACATGTCTGTACAATCCTGACCCACAATCCATTTCCAACAACTCTCTGCAGCACCCTCTCCATATCACTAGTTGTCAAACTATACATCTCTTTCACTCTTTGAAATCCACAAAACCATTGCAAAAAGCGATTGATATCCTGCTGAGGGACCTGCCCTATTTCTCTAACTATAGCATCCATTTCTTGTGGCTTCAACTGCTTAATAACCAGCTGAATCTCTCCAGAATTATCAGGATTCAACACTGTGGTTGTTGTAGTTGGAGCCGCAGGGAGATTTGTCACTGACTTTTGTTTCAAATCCTCCCATGGATAAAGAGGTTTGTATCCTGTATCTCCAACCCCTGGGTTAGCAATAGACTCTGGAATTTCAGATACAGGAGGCCTACTCGATGGTGCCATGCTTTCTGCCATTTTATTAAAAGCCATATTAGTAGCATGTCTGCATTCATCCAATTCTTTTTGCAACTCCAAAATTTTCTCATTCAAACTCTCATTCTCCACTGTAAGTTTCTCACATATTTTGGCCTTTTCAATTAAAGCTTCACCAGTTGTAACTGCATGCACTCTAAGATCTACAATCTTATTATTCAATTTCTCAGATTTCATGTTAATTACTGAATTAAGCTCTGCCATTTCATCCTCCTTTATTTTTACAATTCCTTCTAATTTTAAACAACATGATAGTAATGCTTGCATAATACACCCTTTTCTTTTTTTATCAGAAACATTTTTATCAAATAAAATTTCTCCTAAAAACTCCTGCATCTTTTCCCATGACTGTTTACAGTCCTGAGAGATTTCATAAGGACCACCATGTCTCTTAATATAGTTCATAAGCCATTGTTTAACATTTTCTGAACAAGCCATTTTTGCATCTACCTTTTTGCATGCCATATTAAAAATATACACTGCAGCAATAGAATAAATAACAAATATACTCACCAAGCTTTATGCAGACACTGGAAACCTCTTCTGGGTGACAGTCACAGAACCAAATACGTTGATGTTAAAACTTGGATCCTAGGCAGATTCTGAAGAAAAAAATCTTCCGGCCACTGTCACGGCACCAATTATGTTGTATAATCCTTCTCTCACCACCAATACTTCCAATTGGTATCCTTTTGAGAGAAATCCACTCTGCGTTGTGTATTAATAGTGAATGTAATATCCCTGTGTCACCTCTTCCAAGAACTAACATATATCTTTATCCCCTTGTCCAGATAAATATATGACTAGCACTACTAAGGTATTCCACCCAATATTACAAATAAACAGCCAACACCATAGTTCTTACCAAAGAGAAATCTTTACTTAGAATTTGCCCAATTCAATATTACAGAAGAAGAATGTTACAGAGTTATAGTATTACAGTTACAATACATTCATAACACTCATACATTGCATCTATCTAATATCTACTGTATTGTGTATGTGCTGTGAGATGTTATGTGCAGCATGTGCCTTACCAAACCTAATCTAATGTGATGTCAGTATCTTCTATTTTTAAAGGAATTGGTTCCCATGTTGTAAACAGCAAATTCCTCAGCTCAATTGATATGGAAATGTGATTTCCTTTCCCAAGGCCCAAAGTGTTGTCTATCCTGTTATTTTATTTAAGTGTTAACTTTCCCAGCCATCCCTTAGTCTCTAACCCAAGGTGTGTTTTCCTAGATAGGGACTCCTTTGAAGACCAGTTGATATGTAAATGTGATTGGTGCCTTTCAGGCGCTGTATCTTTTCAGCTATCTAAACAGAAACTCCCTTTGAAGATAATATCTGACCTCCCATACACACAGACTTAATCAAGCACATGTTAAACAGATATATACATAATATTTTCCCCAACAGTGCTCAGTGAAAGTTTTTGATGCATACATACTTTCTGTACCCACTCGTGCTTCACTCCCTCTCCTGTCACTTCACAGGGCTACCCTCACCAATTTATGGTTTATTTACGACTATGGCTTGAATGCTAACAAATATTCTGGACACTAATTTAAGATAGGGGCAGCATCTACTGCCTCAAGCCAAGACATTCCAGTACATGTTATCAAACCTTTAGTTAACATACCCCAACTGGTACAGGAAATACGAAGGGCATATGTTAAGATGTCCTCATAAATATTTATGAACTATGACATGTGGTTTCATAATAAATATCTTTTGAGCAAGATAGGTATTCCTTTTGCCCACTTTATTTACAGGCCTACCACCTACGTCGGTATCGGCACACCTCAACCGACTTTGCTTATCAAAGGTAGATGACTTTATCTCTATTCATTTCTTTACTGAAATGGCCCCAAACACAAATATATATTACACACCGAATCATATATATATATATGAGATTCGGTGTGTAATGGGGTGAAGTATGTATGTAAGTACTGTGGCGAATTTAACATCGCCACTTGTGCCTGGAGAAGACTGATTGTCAGTAGTGATGTCGCGAACACAAAATTTTCGGTTCGCGAAAGGCGAACGTGAACTTCCGCAAATGTTCGCAAACCGGCGAACTGGGCGAACCGCCATAGACTTCAATGGGCAGGCGAATTTTAAAACACACAGGGACTCATTCTGGCCACAATAGTGATGGAAAAGATGTTTCAAGGGGACTAACACCTGGACTGTGGCATGCCGGAGGGGGATCCATGGCAAAACTCCCATGGAAAATTACACAGTTGATGCAGAGTCTGATCTTAATCCATAAAGGGCAGAAATCACCTAACATTCCTAAATCACAATGGATATGGATTGATACCTGACATATGACATATTGACACAGAGCAGAATAGGACTGTTCCCCCTACATAGGGTCACTTGGCAGATATGGATTGACACCTGTCCTCAGAGACCATGATACACACTGATACAGAGCAGAATAGAGACTGTTCCCCCTACATAGGGTCACTTGGCAGCTATGGATTGACACCTGTCCTAAGGATCCCTGATACACACTGACACAGAGCAGAATAGGGACTGTTCCCCCTACATAGGGTCACTTGGCAGATATGGATTGACACCTATCCTAAGGATCCCTGATACACACTGACAAAGAGCAGAATAGAGACTGTTCCCCCTACATAGGGTCACTTGGCAGATATGGATTGACACCTGTCCACAGAGCCCCTGATACACACTGACACAGCAGAATAGAGACTGTTCCTCCTACATAGGGTCACTTGGCAGATATGGATTGACACCTGTCCTCAGAGATCATGATACACACTGAGACAGAGCAGAATAGAGACTGTTCTCCTACATAGGGTCACTTGGCAGATATGGATTGACACCTGTCATCAGAGACCGTGATACACATTGACACAGAGCAGAATAGAGACTGTTCTCCTACATAGGGTCACTTGGCAGATATGGATTGACACCTGTCCTCAGAGATCATGATACACACTGACACAGAGCAGAATAGAGACTGTTTTCCCTACATAGGGTCACTTGGCAGATATGGATTGACACCTGTCATCAGGATCCCTGATACACACTGACACAGAGCAGAATAGAGACTGGTCCTGCTACATAGGGTCACTTGGCAGGTATGGATTGACACCTGTCCTCAGAGACCATGATACACACTGACACAGAGCAGAATAGAGACTGTTTTCCTACATAGGGTCACTTGGCAGATATGGATTGACACCTGTCCTCAGAGCCCCTGATACACACTGACACAGAGCAGAATAGAGACTGTTCCTCCTACATAGGGTCACTTGGCAGATATGGATTGACACCTGTCCTGAGAGATCATGATACACACTGACACAGAGCAGAATAGAGACTGTTCCCCCTACATAGGGTCACTTGGCAGATATGGATTGACACCTGTCCTCAGAGCCCCTGATACACACTGACACAGAGCAGAATAGAGACTGTTCCTCCTACATAGGGTCACTTGGCAGATATGGATTGACACCTGTCCTCAGGATCCCTGATACACACTGACACAGAGCAGAATAGAGACTGTTCTCCTACATAGGGTCACTTGGCAGATATGGATTGACACCTGTCCTCAGGAACCATGATACACACTGACACAGAGCACAATAGAGACTGTTCCCCCTACATAGGGTCACTTGGCAGATATGGATTGACACCTGTCCTCAGAGCCCCTGATACACACTGACACAGAGCAGAATAGAGACTGTTCCTCCTACATAGGGTCACTTGGCAGATATGGATTGGCACCTGTCCTCAGAGCCCCTGATACTCACTGACACAGAGCGAAATAGAGACTGTTCCTCCTACATAGGGTCACTTGGCAGATATGGATTGACACCTGTCCTCAGAGATCATGATACACACTGACACAGAGCAGAATAGAGACTGTTTCACTACATAGGGTCAATTGGCAGATATGGATTGACACCTGTCCTCAGGATCCCTGATACACACTGACACAGAGCAGAATAGGGAATGTTCCCCCTATATAGTGTCACTTGGCAGATATGGATTGACACCTATCCTAATGATCCCTGATACACACTGACACAGAGCAGAATAGGGAATATTCACTAAATTGTTATACAGGGGAATAAGGGGGAACCTACTGTCCTCCCCCCCGGCCACAACCCCTGCACGGTGGGTGGGGGTCATAAATCACAATGGGGGGGACCTACTGTCCTCCCGCCCGCCCCCACCCGTGAGCGGTAGGTGGGGGCCATATACCTACTGTATGATGTTGTATCGATCAGGTAGTGTAAGTGTTACGCCCGCTTCACAGTGACAGACCAAACTCCCCGTTTAACGCACCGCAAAGAACCGCAAACAGTCCATTTGCACAACTGCAAACTCCCCATTTGCACAAGGTTGGATACCAAGCTAGCCATGTCCTGTTCCTTGTCCTCACTGATGTCATTGAAGGTCTCTTCCTCCACCCAGCCACGTACAACACCAAGGGTCCCCGAAAGGTGACAACAAGCCCCTGGGACGCCTGCTGTGTTTGGTCTTCCACCTCCTCAAAGCCACCTTCCTCCTCTGACTCCTCTTCTTCAGACTCCTCTCTCTGCGTTGCCTCTCTCTGCGTTATTATAAGGTGTGTTAAGTAGTATTATTCCTATCAGTTTAATCCCTGTTACATCCCCTATCAGGGGACGTGTATATGGCATCGATTTTAGGAACCGGGAGATGGAAAAAGATGCTTGGTCAGTCCTCCTACTTCAAATTTGGGGCACTGCGCCTGCAATCTAATGTGCCACCAGATAGGAGTGGTGTGTTAAGTAGTACTATTCTTATCAGTTTAATCCCTGTTACGTCCCCTATCCGTTGATGTGGAGCAAGACGCAGCAGCAGAAGAGGACTCAGCCGAGGAGGTTATGGAAGAGGATGGAGTAGGAGGAGTAGAGGAGGTGGCAGCAGGCCTGCCTGCAAGTTGTGGCGGTGTCACCAACTCCTCTGCAGAGCCACGTATTCCATGCTTGGCAGCCGTCAGCAGGTTTACCTAATGCGCAGTGTAGGGGTTGCCTGCCTCTGCCTGTCTTTTTTTTTGATTAGTGGTACTATGCGTGCAAGCTACTGTGACACCAGATATGAGTGGCACTGTGAACTGGCAGAGGTTGGCAGAGTACACGCTGTAGGGCTGACACACCCGCTTGAAGACAACTAACTGCTATTCAATCTATAAC